TCTCCCTCTTTCTCCGTCTCTCCACCCCCTCTCTCATTAAAAACTGCAGGCCCTGGCTTCTAATTAAATCCCACTTGAAAAGTCTTAAAGTCAGCCTCAGATTGATTCAATTTGCATTTCTGAACAGAGAACATTGCCTAAAAGGATTAATAAATTGGACGAAAAAATTCCTTCTTTCTGCGCCACGCCGTCAGAGCTTGTAAGACAACATCCAAAGAGAAATATCCCCCCTCAACAAACGTCTATCCAACATATGCTCTTGCTCTCTCTCTTGCACGTCCCTCCCAGGATGCCAGCAGAGATGGGAAGTGTGTATCAGGACTCTATGTGTGCATGTGTGTGTGTGCGCATGCACGTCCTCGTCTGTGGAACAAGCGCAGAGTCCTCTGAGGCACAGTCAGAAAGGAGCACACGCAATCTGACTCTCGCTGTGTGTGTGTGTGTGCGCGCGTGTCTATTTATGCCTGTGTGAGTCTGGGTATTTGTGCATGTGTGAGAGGGGCGACTTTGGTGGTGCGTGCCAGAGTGCTGAAAGTGACAAGGAGGCACAGTGGGAAAAGATCCTTGCTGTACTGTCTGTATGTGCAGAAACAGACCACGGTGGTGGAGCCATGCCATTGGCGAGTGGACACCTTCAGCAACATGTTTGAAAATCCAAAAAAACACATCGCCAGCTCCGAGAGCCAGATTCAATTAGTGCGATAAAATGAAAAGAGCAAGAAAGACATTTCAAACAGGCCAAAAACCGATGCCGCTGCCAAAAGAGAAGAGCAAACACTAATATGAGAATTTGCATTTGCATTGACACAAAAGGTCTGTCTCCAACATTGGTCTTTTAGAGGCTCTCTGTGTATTTGTATTATGTGTAAGTGTGGAACAGTGCTAACAAGATAAGAGGAAGATTATCCCTGAGATTTCTTCTGAGACAGCAATCAAATGCACCCGCAATTCAAACCTTATAATTTCTTTATGTATCCGAGGACTCTCACTCACTTCACTCATGAGTTTTCCTTTCACAAAAACACTTTTGCAAGACTCAGAATTGTATCTACTAATGTGTTTTGTGTATACAATTTGTTGAACCTTAGGAAAGTATGATTTGTAGAAGTGCAGACTCTTGGATGGGACACACTGTCGCCGTTATTTGCCAGTCAAACTGACTTGTATAATGGCTGATGAACTTTCATAGACTGCTTGTAGCTCGGTGGTTGAAGCACATGGAGATCCTGACATAAAGGGAGGCACATAGTATAAAATAGGCACGGCTTCACCGCACAACACTCGGTTTGCCTGTAATTACAATAACGCAGACAGAATACGATTATTCCCTTAAATACATTGGACTAAGAACTGTCTGAAAAGGAAACGATACCAAAGAATTTTACATGATAAAAAAAGGGAAAATGTTCCTTGAAAAGAAATAAAAATCCGTAATCATCATTAGAATAGAAGTCTGAGAGTGTAAAGAGGATAGTGAGTGGCAAAAAAATTATGAGTGCTACTGTGCTGTGCTCAGAGGAAAGCAGAAAATAATCATGATGAAATGAATGTAGGGAGAGGAAAGTGGCAGCATTATCCTGCCCTGCTTTGTATAACACAACACTGACCCCTAGTGATGTTAGTGAGGACCATCCGGAAAGTGATTTGCATAATGCCTGTGTGCATGCAAGTGTGAACAACCTTATGTCTCTGCATGAGGAGGGTGGATACTTAATATTTCTGTATGAATGTGTTTCTGTGGGTGTTTTTTTTTTTTGTTTGTTTGCCTGGGTTTCTTTCGTGTGTGTGTGTGTGTGGTCATACTGTGAGTGCATGTGTGTATAACTCCACATACAGTACGAATCACGAGAACATTAGATTTAAGTACAGAATCTGTGTACAGTGCGTGTGCATGAGGTGTGTGTGTGTTTGTGTGTGTTCTAATAATGGTGCCTGGTGGACTGGGGCTTCCTTTGATGCAATGAAGGCTGACAGGCGTGAAACAGGTCCAATCAGGCGCGTGGGCACTGCCAATTAACCCTTTTCACCGTGTGAAACCAAACATAATTGCCTGGGGTGCAGGGGGCCACTGGGCCATGGCCTGCCCAGCGTAGGCTGAAATGGGCATTAGCAGTGCTGCCAGGTGACCATTACACACAATTGAACTGCTGGGTGTTTCTCCAAATCACACAGTTACAGTTGCTACCCAGATGTAATTGGCATGGCATTACCAAATGGCCCCTATTTCTAATTTTCACACCCACACAATTTATCTGGAATATCTTCAGAGATATTGTACTGTGCCAGGTTTATTACACTACGGCAGGCGGACTGTATTTCAGTGGCATTTTGCTCTGATTTCACTCTGGGAGTGTGGATTACGTTATGTTTGAGAAATAAAATCACACTATTTGTAATACATTTTGACACTGCTGCGATTCTGTTCCGAGTGTTATAATAATCTTAACTGGAACAAATAGTGGTTAATAAGTTAAGCTTTGTGTGCACTGATAATCAAATTTTATTCATGTTATGCTCAAGGCAAATACCCCACATTCTTAGTCAAACACCCAAAAGTAGAGCACAGTTTAAATGAAAGTAGAGCAGCACTCTGTACGGCAGTAATGCTGCAATAATAATGTTTACTGAAATTCCACTCTCTTTTGTCTTCTTTTAATATTCTTGCGATAAATTAATGATCACGACTATCAAAATTGTGTGATAAAATGGCTGCTTATTATTAATGAGACTTTATTTTAAATTAAAGAGCTACACAGAAACTGAAAAACTCAATTTCTGTAGTGTTCTTAGCAGCAATTTAGCAGCCTCGGCAGAGCTTGTTGGAGCTTCAGAAATTGTTTGTTGGGGATATTATATAAATATGTGCTGTAACATACAGCACAATGTGTGCAATAACACTTAACTACATATTCTTAATTTATAAGCAGGCTGTACGCTGTAGGTCTACACATACACATTCAGCTGTCAGTTTATTAGGCACACGTAGCAAAAATAGATCCTGTCAAATACAATGGTGTTACATTAAATTCCACCTCCATGAAGGTTATAATGTTGCCAGCCTGCAGCAAACAAAATAACCATAAGTTCAACACCTCTCAAAAACTGAACATTATAACGTTTATGAAGGTAGAATTTATTGCAGGGCTGTATTACACTGCACTAATTTAAAAACTGGCTCCTGACTATATGTATTATAACTACACTCTGCTTATAAATTAATAGTATGTAGTTATATGCAATTACACAAATTGAACTGTGTACAGTTTTGGGAAGGTTACCTTTGAAACTGAAGTTAGAGGTTACTATTTATCCTGTTAAAAATGTAATGAGTAATGTAACTATTTTAATTACTTCATCAAAGTAATGTCACTTATTACATTTCTTACAAATGTTTGAAACAGGGCAGTAAAGCTATAAAATGTCCAGAAACAGGCTGTGCTAAAAGAAGGCAGTCCTGCACAGTGAAAAAATGCAAAGCAACAGAATGAATGTTACATTCTACAAATAAACTTTTTACTGACAAGAATATATTAAGATGTAACCCCTTTGCAATCACCAACATTGTGATGAGTAATTTAATTACATATTTTTCTTAGTACCTGTAACTGATTACAATAAACTTATTTTGTTATTGAATTGCATGTAAATGACATGAAACTAGTTTCTCACCAATACTGAAAATGACCAGAGCTTTAACACCTCATAAACTGACCGTTATAACCTTTATGAGGGTAGAATTTATTATAGACTGCATTAATTAGGTGTGCCTAATAAACTGGCAACTTATAACCACTGTCTGCTTAGAGCCTAAATATGTGAGGGCAGTACGGCAAAGTCAGGTAACTTGGGACAGTTTTTGATAGATTACTAAGAAAACCACCTAAAACTCAGAATACTACCTCAAGTGTTGAACCTCTGCTGTATTTCTATTAAGAAAGTGCCAAGTAAAATAATTCAAAAACTTGAGACCTTCGAACACATCAAGACCCTGACCTCACTGCCATGACATGTTTAAGTAAAATGGGACAGTCATGGTTGCTTGTTTTTTAAATGGTTAAATCCATCAGATGTCATTAATTAATTAAATCATTAATGTGACCTGTGGCGATTCATTAAATATAACTGCCCAACTTTTCTGCCATGCTTTCCCTCATTTTTTTACTGTCTCTTTCCCTGGTGCCAGCTTGTGTACAATGGACGTGTGTAATGTGTATGGCTAATTCTGGACTAGTGTGGCTGACATTGACTTGCTTCATCATATTTAATGATTTTTTTTAAATGACAAATATACTATAAATGTCTGTAATATGACAGGGTGGCACACAGTAGCATAAGTCATGATTTTATGGCTGCTGGTAGCCTAAAACATGCTGCTCTCACATCAGAAAAATGTCCAAATTTACCTGAATACATTTAGCGTTCACTCAAAACCCTTTCCCCTTAAAAAGTAGAGTGTGAAACATTTAATAAAATGCAACATCCTACTACTGTTCTGTCGTTATACTGTTAATGTTTTAGCTACAGTACTCTACCAAAAAGTAAAAATCAACATGCCTTATGGCTGAGCTTGCAAATGCTATGACCAGTGAGTTTTTTAATCTTTGGTGTGCCCATTCTTGATTTCTTAGACTAACAAAAATGATTGTTTCATGTAAAGCACATATGTATTAATGATGCAATAACATGTTTGGTGATTAGCTGCAAATATGTGAAGAGTACAGGATGTAAAACCTTATTGATCCCATTTTACCTGATGTCCCACAGGACCTGAACTCACCCCAGATGTTGTGGTATTGCAGTGGAAAAGATACCAGATAAAGGATCACTGGAATATTAGTGATATATTCTTTTATTTTATTTTATTTATTTTTATTTATTTTTGTTAAGCCTGGAACTTACACTAAAAACATTTTTTAAAGAAATATTTCCTTTTTTTGCCATGCTTGAAAACGTTTGGCCACCAGGGGTCGTTGTTTCACCCCTACTCCATCCCTTAACCTCCAGCCTGCCTGCCTGACTGACTGCCCACCAGAAATGTTGGCAAAAACACCCCCTCCTCATCGTGTAGGGAAAAAATGGCGGACAAGCGCTAAGCCAACATCAGAAACAAACACACACGTTACAAAGCAAGGTAAACACCCTCGGATACACCGAGCAACGTCGCCTTTTAGGGCTCGGCTTCGGCGTTGAGCCCAGATTACCACCGGCTAGCCTCTGCGTGCTACTACGCTCCCGTTTTGCTAATGCTAATATTTATAATCAGGTCAACGAGCTAGCGAGCCGCCTAGCATGCTAACTAGCATCCCGGGCAGTGGGCATGACTCTGTGTAGCCGTGCGTAGCATAGCATGCTGGAAGTGGTGTCTGCACGGCTGCACTGGCTGCATGCGTGTTTGGTTTCCTTTCTGTGTTATACTTGTCTGACCTACACCCTTGAGAGGCCGTCAATGTGGTGTTAACTCCTGAGCAGCATAATTAGCGATGCTGTCAGGCAAATGAGCATCTAACGCGCATGCAAATATAGCACAGGAGAGGGCGGGGGGTGTCCATGTGTTGGCTTTGTGTTATGAATGGAGCTCAACACATTTCTGCAACGTAACGCGCGATATTTTGGATAAAAATGGCCACTGCGTCCCGTGTACATGTCAGAAAAGTGGCACTAGCTGTGTGTTGAGTTGTAGGACGCACGGTTAGCAACAGGAGGAAGGTGTACCTGGCTGCTGGGGCTCTCTAACGTCAGTCCTCCTGTCACTGTCCCAGACGGAAAAAACAGGGACCGGGCCGCTTTAATTTGGACGCCACCCCCCTCGGCGGAGGAAAAAGGCGCACTTCCATTGAAAAGAAAATCATCCGGGGTGGAGAGACGCTGCTAAACGGTTATGAAGTTTTAAGGTAGGTCTGTTGTGAGTCCTCTGCCATTGCTGTTTGTCTGTGTGAGCGTACAGTTAATTTATATTAAAGCTGCTGTGTTTCTGTGGGCATATTCAAATATCTGGCTGATGGTTAACAAGTGAAGCTGTTTCTGTGTGTCAATACCTGCTTGTGCATGCATTTTCTGTCACTGCCATGTCTTGTTTTATGATCATACACTCCAAATTTCATTATAATCCTGGTTTAGTTGGCTTTATGTTATGTCTAATAGATGTCACAGTGGACCATGGTTGGTGTAAGGCTGGTGAAGCAGCCACTTAGAGCACTTGTCTTGTATCAGTCTGACCTGTTGACCTGGATGTTGTGTCTGGTTGGTGATGTTGGTTAGCCCAGGGTTTAGGTTACAAGAGGCACTGAGCCTGACAACATGTTTCCCTTCTCTAAACCCTTGTCCACTCATGAGAGGTTTTGTACACATTCAGCATGGTAACTTTTACATAAAGGGATCAAATGACAATAGGTTTACTCTTTTATGTTGTAATAATAATAGAAGAATATTTATTTGTACAGCACTTGTCCAAACAAGGTCACAAAGTGCAGAAAAATAAGACAAAACAGTACAGAGGAAATAGAGCACAAAAGTTACAAATCACAAAGTACAAATCAGGCATTAGCTTTCCTATAAAAATAAGTTAAAGCAATGATTTAAAAACAGGTAAAGCGCTAACCAACCTAATTCCAGAGTGTCGGGGCCTCAATGGCAAAAGCTCGGCCACCTTTAGTTACCAGCCTTGATCTAGGGGCTGCTACTGAGGGTAGGCTTGAGGATCTCAGGTCACGACTTGGAGCGTATAGGTAGTCAGAAGCTCAGCTGTATAACTCGGCGCTTAACTATGTTGAGCTTTACTTTCTTATATTGTTATTTCATGGGTGTGTTTAATTGTCATCCTGTGGAATAACAATAGCACTTCCAGCTTAGTGATACTGACAAAACTTAGTTTCATAGTGATTTTGGAAGCTGTAGTTTGTGCATCTGTGTTTCTAATATTTTGTCCCCTTCGTTTATATCAATTGGTCTGCACATGCTGTTAGTAAAGCCAGGAGCTGTAATGCAGTTTGATCTTTAAATGAATCTTTAAGGTGTGAAAAAGCTAATTAAATCCACATGAAGTACATTGATCTGGGGGACTCTTTGTTGGACTGTGCCTCCCATGACGACCCCCTGCCTGCAGAGAAGGCCTGCGAGCTACAAAGATAACAAGGGCAGCTCTCTGGTTTCCCTTTGAAATGAAGCACAGTTAACATGCAGTAGCCTAACCTTAGGTCTGAATACCGCTGAGTTTTATTAGTGCGATCACTTATTTGGGTTACACTCTTCATTACCCATGTCGTTAACCCCATTTATGTCTCCCATTTTTTAAGACTTTTATTTTGGATTTACAGAAACAAAACCACACACAAGATAACTACACACAGGCCCTATCCTGATACATCCACTGACATGTAATAAAAACAAAATTTGGGTAAATAAAAAGGTCGCCAAAGGAGCAAATAATTGTGCATGCATGCCCAGATATGCTGAATCTCTGAAAAGTGTCTGGGATTGTCTGTGCATTGTCACACGCAGGGGATGTACAAATGTGCAAAAAAGCCGTACTCAAAGGGTACAAAATCAACTTACACTACTTAGTTGCAAGAAAGTCAATTTGCTTGCTGATACAATCAGTCAGAGACCCCAGGGACAGTTATCAGGGACCCCAAACCTTACAGTATGAGTCATATGTTGGGTATTTAAAAAAAATTATAATCGAGCGATAAGGAGGGGAGGTATTTCCATTCTCTCAAAATAGACCTTTTAGCTAAAAACATAAACACCTGCAGGGTCTCATGTTAGTTTAAGGAGTGTTCCAAACTAGGGCTGCCACGATTAGTCGACTAATCGATGACTAATCGACTATTAAAATAATCGATGACTATTTTAGTAGTCGACTAACCGGTTTGAGTCATTTTTCATAGAAAAGTACTATAAAAGTACCCCAAAATACTCTTACTGCAGCTTCTTACGTTCAGATATTGGCAGCTTTACACGCTTTCCTGTGACGGTGAACTAAAACCCCTTGGCGTGAGTACGAAACAAGACATTAGATGACATAATTTTGGGGTTTGGGCGAGACAGACCGACATTTTTCAACATTTTAACACATTTTTTGATGAAATGATTAGTAGACTAATCGAAGAAATAATCGCTAGATTAGTCGACAATGAAAATAATCATTAGTGGCAGCCCTATTCCAAACAACCTCAAAGAGCAAGGCATTTTGTTTGGTTTAGGGTTGGAGAAAGTCACATATAACAGTACCTTTTTATATAATGGTTTTCAGCGTGTTCCGGCTCCTATATTATGTGTGATAAAATTCTGATCTTAGAAAGTAGTTTTCTGTGGCTTTACTGTTGTATCAGTTTTAAATATTTTACATGTCTTGTGCATCATATTAAACATTTCCCCACAGTTAAGCCATCCTTTCTGTGGCCACTAGAATTTGAAATAAAGTTAAATGAAGAGAGTGTGGCTGTGCAGCATTAGCTTGTCATGTGTGTGTCAGTGAGGTTAGATGATGCTCTTTTACGGCTGCACTGATATTTTAGATTCTCTCTGTGCTATTTCTACACATTTCTCCAAACTTCAAGGTAACATGTCTGCTGTCTGTTGTTTGATGTTGCGATCATGACTGCAATCCACAATAGGACTTTCTCACAGCAGACATTTTGACTTGTCATAGCAGGTAACGCACAGATGTTACTAATAACGCTAACGACGGCTGTGTTCTAGCGAGCAAGCGTGCACACTACCTGCAACCTCAAATCAAAGCAGCTCAACAGAGCTCAGCCGTCATTCAGTTCATTATTTACATCTGAGCTTTTCCTGCTGTGACAAGTCAGAATGTCTGCTGTAGAAAAGGTCTCTAATGTGGTAAATTAAATTGTCAAAATCTTTTTAGTTCACACAGCTACTTCTATGGCTTTTTTTCTTGTCTTTAGAGTGGACGCCACTGTTGTTGTTGGAGCATGAGGAAACCAGTCCCACAGAAAGGTGAGAATTTACTACTATGCCATTTGCAGTATGGTCCCTAACAGTATTCATAGCAGCCTGCAGGTAAAGAGGAAGAGAAGTGGCACATTTTAGTTCATTCCAACCAGTTGCTTTATTTTTCTGTGCAGGCAGATTCATACATTATGGTGTAATAGTCCTGTCATTACGGACAATGTTTGGAGCAGTGAGTGTGGCAGTTTTCGCGAGGTGGTGACTGATGTGAAAATCACCCGTGGCTGAGAGCTTATTCTATCTTTTTTGGCTCCTCCAGCTATAGAGTGGAAAGATGCCAGAAGGATCAAGCATGGCCGGAGTGGACGGCCCTCCCGGGTGCCCTCACAGTACCAAGGTAAATAACCCACAGCAGGCGGTGATATATGAAGTCAGTTTTGGGCAGTTCCAACAGGAAACAGTGCCCAAGGATTGTCTTCAGCATTGTTTCATTAATCATCGAGACAAAGTTTGCTCCAATTGTCGATAACAGATTTGAAAGCTTCTTGTGTCTTTGTTGTTCTGTGCTGGGGCTCGCGAAACAACTGGAAACACACATCTTAACACTATTGTAATATGATGTGAATGTCTTGTCGCTCTTTGTCTTCTGTACAGGACATTTTAGTTGGGAGAAATACCTGAAAGAGACGGGTGCCTCCGCTGCACCCTCCACTTGCTTCAGACAGGTAAGCAAGACTGATAGGTCCTCTCTCAAGCATCTCCTGTGATTATTTGATCACACTGAAATCCTTCTCCACTGCTGTTATTATGCCGCCACTCTCCATCTAATACGTGCCTATCATTACCATCTAGAGCCTCACACCTCCGCTCAACGAGTTCAAGGCCGGGATGAAGCTGGAGGCCCAGGACCCGCGAAACACGACGTCCACCTGCATCGCTACGGTGGTGGGCCTGACGGGCTCACGGCTGCGGCTGCGCCTGGACGGCTCTGATAACAAGAATGACTTCTGGCGCCTGGTGGACTCCTCCGAAATCCAGCCAATCGGTAACTGTGAGAAGAACGGAGGCATGCTGCAGCCGCCGCTTGGTAAGGACGCACACACAGATCACAATATGACGTCTAGTTTTTTAAATCAGGGGAGTAAATGATTGTTAAATGTTAATTTCTAATGATTTTACAGAATCTTTTCAGCTTTTTATTTTTTGGGGGTTTTCATTTGGTCCACTAGGTGTCAGTGACTAACAGCTCAGAATGTCAATGTGTCATGTTAATGCTATAAATAACTTCTTGACAGAGCTTAGAGAGCCTCCTACCCAGGACATTTCTGCACTGAATACACATGGGGAAAAACACATGAGCACTCTGCTTACTGAGACTGTAACCACACAGTGTTGTTGATAGATTTTAGGGCTGCAACTGAATAATACTTTTATTATAAACTAATCTGCTAGTTATTTTCTCATTTAATCATTTGTTCCAAAACTCATAATTTCTCAGAGCCATGGTGACGTCTTCAGATGTTTTTTTTGTCTCACCAACAGTCTCAAATGTATTCAGTTTACAATAAATAGTAGGGCTGTCAAGTGATTAAAAAAAATGAATTAATTTCATGCTCTGTGATTAATTAATCTAAATTAATCGCATACATACATTTTAAAAAGTTCAGTTTAAATGAATTTTGGCAGATGTGTCGTAATAAAGTTGCTGGATTTTGGACACAGCTGTCCTCCTGTCCTCTACCACCCAAACTGGTCTGCAGTCCATTTTGTGAGTGAGTTAGTCAGTCCGTCACAGGTGGACTTCCTCAGTTTGCGTCTGAACACCTGCTTGAGTATGACTCAGCCAGGTTGGCTGCCAGATGCTAGTGCTAGCGTCGGAGGCTGTGTTAGCTCAGGACCTCTGGGTTTGCTGCTAAATGCTTTACGTTGAGGTAATATTTCAGGCTTGAAGTTCTTCGATGGTACGAAAATTCCTTACTCCAGAAATTGCTCCTATCAACAGTTTAATCTGGGCGTTTTTTAAATGTAAATGTTCTATTCATGGGGCCAAGCAGCGTTGTCTCGTTTGCCTCCATCATGTGACAAAGGCCTTCTATGACACACCACGTCAAAGGGCACTATGGAACACGATTAATCAGTGTTCATTTTATGAACTTTTTTCTGTGATTAATTAATCAAATTTAATCCATTATTTTGACAGCCCTGGTAAATGGCAAATTTTCTTTTTCAAAAAGCTGGAGCCAGAGAAAGATAGCTGTTTAATTTCTGCTTGAAAACTGACCAAAACGATAAATGATTCGCAGCTCCTCAAGTTTTCCCTTGATTTGTCCATGTGGACTTCACCATGTTGTAACAAAAATTGTCCTCCTCTTCAGGTTTCCGTCTCAACGCGTCCTCTTGGCCCATGTTTCTCCTGAAAACACTAAATGGAGCAGAGATGGCCCCCTCTCGCATCTTTCACAAGGTACCTGTACAAGGCTCACAAGCTCAGCACGCTCTGAAAAGTAGAACTCAAGCATGCTTATTTACAAGGCACAGTTACTTATTTATACGAGAGAAATCTTTTCATCCACAAAAGATGTCTTAATGTCTGGTAGAAGAAAACTTATCAATCATAGCAAAAATCCATCAGCATGTGGTTGATTTTAATGTACTCTCTCAGTACAGATACTCGTGCCTGCCAACTGTAAACCTGACCCCCTTTCTCTCTCTCCCTGTTCCCCAGCAGGAGCCTCCCGCCCCAGAGCAGAACTCCTTCCAGATTGGCATGAAGCTGGAGGCGGTGGACCGTAAAAATCCCCACTTTATCTGCCCGGCCACAGTGGGTGCACTGCGTGGTGTCGAGGTGTTGGTCACCTTTGATGGCTGGCGGGGAGCCTTTGACTACTACTGCCGCTATGACTCGCGTGACATCTTCCCTGTTGGCTGGTGCGCCCTCACTGGAGACAACCTTCAGCCACCTGGCACCAAAGGTACGGACCTTCATAGTGGGAGGGAGGTTTTATGACAAAGGGTGTTACATGCCCTTTTTTTGGGCACCATGAGCACTACAAACAAAACTATATTCCCCTCCACTGTGTTGTTGAAGTGGAACCATCTGAGACACATGATTCAATAGCTCAACATGTGAACCCAAATCTTTTCAGGACAGTTTAAGTATGTACAAAATGTGCTTGACTGACATGTTCCTCTTTCTACAGTTACAACTTAAACTTACCACATACACTACAAGTCTTCAAAAAAGACTTTTAAAGGACTGAAGTCTGACGCCCTCTCATATCTAAAGATGATCTGAGCTTTTAGTCACGCGCTAAGATCTTGCAAACACTGGGGATCTTGTAGCTCCACTGTTTCCAAGACTACAACTACATCATTTTTGAGATTATTTCCCATCCTGCTCATGGTGGAAAATGCTACACCAAACTCCATTAAAGAAATAAGAAATATTAGCTATTGGTTATATGTCCACAAAAACACATAACTGTAGAAACACAAGATGAAAGGTGTCAAATGCTGACAATGTTCTTGTCAATTCAGCATCAATATAATCTATGTAGAAACTGTATTTGCGTACAAGCTTTACATTTTGCTTTTGTTGCCTAAACTTGCTGCCAGCCTCTGTTGGTTAGCTGGACTATTTTAGTCGGAGAAGACTGGAAATGAGAGGTGAACCATTTCAAAAGTCAAGATTTCTCACTAGAATAAGCGATGGTTGGTGAATCAGATACATGCAGAATTAAACACTGACTCTTGTTCACTCCACCAGCTTCTCCTCCTTTTCCACAGTACAAGAGACCTGAGACTTGTTTACGTTCTTGCGCCTCATTTGAGTCTCCCCCATATTTACTGTCTACCTGAAATGCTGCTCAGTGCAGGATAGAGCACAGCTATTAGTTGAAGTCAAATTCACGTTATGAAACTGTAGCATTTGCATCAGCCAAGACTAAAAACTTACGATAATATTAAATATGTTTGATTTTGTTGGAATATCAAGATAAGAAAAAGACTTAAGACAGCTCGGACTGAGTTCTATGACTACTTTACACCAAACGATCAAGTTCTCAGGAGCGTGCACCAACTGAGGTAAAACTATCATGACATTAGAAAATTATAACTGCATGAAAAGTCATTTAGTGTAAGGCTGGCATTACACAGTTATCATTAATGCTGTGTTGAGATCGGCGACCACAAAAAAATTCCATCATAGCTCTGACAAACATTAATTTGAAGAGAGATCCACTTATCTAGGTCAGTGGTTCCCAACTGGTCTGGCCTTGAGGTCCAAATTTCTCTTTAGTCATTAGTCCAAGGTCCATGCAGTTTAATATAGTCAGTGTCATACTTGCGTTCGGCCATGTTGTCGAGCTAGTTTGCTGTCTCTGCGATGCAGCTGTCCGTTAGTCACTCACTCTACAGCAGGAAACTGCACCCCGAAATAAAAGCTCTGTGCCAGAAGTTCACTGTACTTCAAAATGAAAGTGTTTTTTTACAAACTTGACATGTTTGGGAGTCACTTGCGGTCCATTCAGACTGGACCGCCACCCACCAGTTGGGAACCACCGATCTAGGGTTAACTAAACCTAAGGGGGAACACACACACACACACACACACACACACATTACATTTTGTTGCTTTAAGACATATTTACATTTAGTATATTGTGTCCAAATGGCAGTAACTAGGGTTGAATTAACACGTGTATGTCGAAGTCGAAACAAAAATGTAACCTTCTAATCTTCATAAGGTGTGTCACTGCTTTACACTGTAAAGATTTTGCTTTATTTTGTCCACATGCTGTATTTTCACATTCAAGCTAAATCTGAGACCCATTTTGCAGCATATCCAGTGCATAACAAGCACATATTGTGGTGCTTATTTTAGGACGACCTCGAGTGGTGGTATTTGTTTCACTTCTCTCTACTTTGCTTTGAAATTTAACAACTGTTCGCCACAATAATGAGCAGCTTTCATCAATACGTTCTGCCGGAGTTTTACCATTACTTTCTGTGCTATTTGTGAGTGTGGTTGGGGCAGCACGGTTCGCAGTGTGATGCAAGTACATCGTCCGCCTGAAGGCATCATTAGCAACAGTTGATCAAGTCATCAACATGAGCTTGCTATTTTTAATTCCTGGTGGTGTTGAATTCTCTCCAGTTAACTTTGAACTGTGTTTGCAAATTTTAATATTCAGTAACATGCTGTCCAGTGTGTAAAATGATACAGTAGCATTCCTGTAGTCTTGCCTTCATTTGAAACACAATCTGATGGTGAACAGAGCTACACTGTACATTGTTTCTTTGATTTTCCATCTAGCAAACAACAGTCAGTCTCTCTTAAAAGCTCGAGCATTTCAGAAGTTGTAGCCATGTTTACTGTCTCATGATAAAGAAGCAGAGGAAGCAATTTGTTATACAAGAGACATAAAAGGAAGGAGGATACAGGGGTTATCAGTCACAAGGTCAGCCGTACTCATCTGTTTGAATCCACAGTATCTAAAGGAGTGGAAAAGGAGGGAGGAATATGGAGAGGCAGGACATGCCTTTGTAGCCTGCTAGTGTTTTATGAAGGCCTGGCACTCCCCCAGTTGGCAGAGTCGGGCCATGACGTGGTTGAAACAAGCCTGGGTTCCCCTGCACAGGCCTCTCGTTGGCACCCTGGCTAACAGGCTCTGATTAGACACCTCGGAGAGAATTGAGTGGGGATAGACACGGAGAGAAAAGGCAGACGTACGCTGCGAGAGGTGGATTGTTTACATTGTCAGCAGATGGTGGGAGGAGAGAAGACGAGGAGGGAGGAAAAAGAGAGAGAGGAGGAGCGACACGGAGGGAGAGTGGGAGAGCAGGACAGGACAGGGGGAGAGGGTGAATCTGAGGACAGCTGTGCAGACATCCACAGACTTTTGACTTTTGTTCGAGAGGTGAGTAAAGATGAATGAAATTACAGAAAGGCAGCCGGAGTGATAGTTTAAAAGTTTGTGTGCAGTTATCTTCCTGTAATGTGAAGCTGGCAGTGGTGGCTTTGAACTCAGTGAACTCAGTGCACTCAGAGGAGAGGGGGGAAAAAGGCTTTGCTCGTTACGCATTTGTTTGGCTGTATTTACAAGCACTGCCATTGATCAATGAACATGTAACCTCAAGCTCTTTAAACCTTTTAAATGTTATCTAGGATTCGTCCAATCTGTTTAGGATCAATCAGATGCCTTTTTTTTTAGCTGCACTATGAAAAGTCTCAGTTGCCTGCAGTACGAGCTCTGCATTGATTGGTGTGCCCGTGTGTTTAATAAATACAACCCCACGGGCCAAGACCTGCATTAATGAATGTGGCTGCTCCTCTCGTAAATCTGTCCTTGGTTGATCCTGGATGAATACCGGTGCGTTTAGTTTGTGCATTGTGTGTGTGTGTGTGTGTGTGTGTGTGTGTGTAGGCTTGCAGGTGCATGTGAAGCCAGCTATCCAGGCTATACTCTGGTTCCTCTGTGTGGTAGTTGCGCACATTCTTGAAGTTTTGCCAGCTCCATGTTGGCTTCTATAAAGTACATGGCTTATTTGGTTATTTTTATGTATTTAATATAAGCCTTGCTCTAAATGATTTTACCATGTGCGTGCTCCCTTAGCGGTTCATGTGATTTTCTGAAATGCTTCCCGTCAGGAAAGGAAGGGTGTGTGTTCATGGGTGGGAGTGCAGAGAGATAAATTTTAAGACAGTCTCACAGCTGTCAGCAGCTTACTTCTTTATTAGGGTTTATTCCTCAGGCTTTTAAGGTGTTCGCACATTTCTTCTTTATATTCTAGCCAGCAGGGATCTGAAGGTAGACCAAAAGAAAATCAACTTTGATTACTTCAGTTCTTTCTTTCAGAACAGCTCACTTGTTTCCCCCGTTCACCTCCTGCCTGAGATCTTTCAGTCCTTGTTTTTCTTCTGCTTCATCTTCATCTTTTGTTGGTTGTTACAGATCATAGTTTACACAGGTAATGCCTATTTGTCTGATTCCAAAACGTAGTACTGTACTGATATATTGTAGTCCACCATAGCGTTATTCTGCCATGCAGATGGTTGGGCTTTATTTGCTCAGGTTTTTAGATATAAGTCCCTGGGATTAACCCTACCACCCTGTGCGTGAGTACCACAAACAAAATTCCATTGACAGATTTCTCAAAACCTGAGCCTTAAACCAAATGCATCCATCAGAGCTTGGTGGAAGATATGTTTGTTTGTAATGTGTATGAGCTAACCTTTATCACTGCGAGAGAAAACACCATGATTAGCAGTCTTACTGCAAGATGGTATATCATGATTTATTGTTGCATCTACTATTTTTCTGACTATGATCTGACTAGAGAAATCACATTGCAGTGAATTTCTCAAGACTCTGAGATCTGTCTTTATTTATATGCAGAAAAAAGCCAACGAAACCCTTTGAGTTCACTTGAAGGCTGAAATTCACAGAATGAACAGTCTTCTGAAGCGATCTGGAGCATGCACTCCTCGATGTAACCTCTCACCCTCTTTCAGTCTATCTGGCTGTTCGCTGTCTCACTGTGAAGCACTCTACAGTCTGAGAGCTGTAGAAGTGACGTCCTCGTGCTTATAACTGAGGAAGGAAGTTCAAGTGAGGGAAAAATGTTTCACTGCTGAGAATGTTTGACCTTCTCTGCTGCAGTAAGAGACTCAAGTTCAGGTGTTACTAAATGTCTGGATTTATTTCTGCTTTGAAGAAAACAAGGATTTTTGATACTTAATCAGGTTTAGGTTTGATGATACAGATGAGAAACTATGTGGAATGAGAAACTATGTGGAAAAAGAAGTGGTAGATTCTTGTTCCTCATTTGAAAAAGGTATTTACAGAGTAGATTAGTGGTGCTGCTACATTCAGATGGTAGGGTCAGAATCTGGTGTAAACAACATGAAAGCATGGATCCATCCTGCCTTGTATCAAAGGTTCAGGCTGGTGGTGGTGGTGTAATGGTGTGTGGGATATTTTCTTGGCACACTTTGGGCCCCTTAGTACCAACTGAGCATCATTTAAACGCCACAGCCTACTTGAGTATTGTTACGATTGTGTCCATCCCTTTATGACCACAGTGTACCCATCTTCTGATGGCTACTTCCAGCAGGATAACACACCATGCAACAAAGCTCACATCATCTAAAACTGGTTTCTTGAACATGACAATGAGTTCACTGTACTCCAATGGCCTCCACAGTCACCAGATCTCAATCCAATAGAGCACCTTTGGAATGTAGTGGAATGGGCCGACAAATCTGCAGCAACTGCCGATGCTATCATGTTAATATGGACCAAAATCTCTGAGAAATGTTTCCAGCACCTTGCTGAATCTACGCCACGAAGAATTAAGAAGGTTCGGAAGGCAAAAGGGGGTCCAATCCAGTACAAGCAAGGTGTACATATTAAAGTGGCTGGTGAGTGTAGTGTCCTTGATTCACCCCTTCACTTCTCCACAGCTCCACCCTCTTGTCCAAATATGGTCACTTCTAGCTCCAAAAATCCATGATGGCAACAGCTGAAATGTCAAACAAAGGCTTCAGAACTGGAGTCTACAAACCAATGGTTGATGTCTCGGAAGCCACGTCCATTATTTTATACAATCTATGGTTATATCATATCAATATGAACATAGTACAAATCAGAAATACTTTATGCATCCACAAACATCATGTTCATCCCATTCAAGGTTCTTCTCTTAGTGATTTAAGATATCACTAAACATCTGACATTCGACCTATCCATCCTGTGTCTCTTCTACCCCAGAAAAGCACATCATTTAAATCACCGTTTCCAGTATAATTTATAAATGGTCCCCAAGCTTTATTGTTATAAAAAAGTCCTTTTTGCCCTTCATTATGTAGGTTATCTTTTCAGTTGAAAAACAGCAGGAAATTTCTCTCAGCCGATGACCTATATGAGATCTGTTAACATTTTTCGCAGAAAGGGCAATTAGAGGTCTTGCTTGTTGTAAGCACCTATTAAGAAGAAGAATTTGTTCACTTCTCTGTATACATGGGGTACCTGGGTACACTTCCAAAGTAAAAACCTTTGGGTCAAGAACATCAACAATTGCATTGTTGATAATCCCCCTACTTAATTTGGCACAGTCCCAGAGACAGTGGACTAGCATCCCCCTTTCCGGGCTACACTTGATGCTTGTATCTGGATTATTGCTGTCAAATTTGTGTGATTTAACTGGACTAACATGAGTGTGCATCGGCCAGTGATATTGTAGCAACTTGTGTCTGGTATTCGGCCATCCATCAAGTGTAATCTCACATGTACATCCTCCCTCGAGCCATATAACCTTGTTTCAGAGGATTCTCTGCAGCCAGAGACCAATAGGTCAAATGACACAAGAACTCCATCATCAGGTCTAAAGACATCTTAGATTTTTGCAACACCCTTATTGGCCCGTAGTCTCAAACTTCCATCAGATCGACTAGGCACGAAGTCATCATTACCCCAGACTGGGCTAAAGCAAGAAAGAGCCCGAAATATTTTTCCACATCATGCCAGACAATCATATTGAAAACACAGGGGTTGGCTGTGTTTTCCAAGTTTCTTTGTACCTGCGGAGTACAAATGCAAGTGAAATTGTAGGCTAACAGACTTCAATCTCCAGCCAAGATGGAGGAGTTTCACATGAGAATAAAAAACAGTGTTTCGACACAACTTTCTTGTTGATTGGCTGCAGCTAGAGTCAAACGGGGACATTGTAGCCAACAGCGTAAAGGCTTCTTGGATGAGCAGACGGCTACATGACTCATTTGGCTGTGTTATGTGCTTGTTATGTGACAAGAGTGTGATGTAGGTGATTTTGAATGAACCTGTTTCTGCTGTCACTCACATCACATAATGTAGTCTAGATTTCAGATGAAACGCTCACACTGGTGAAGGAATATTTTTCTAAACCCACAATTGCAGTAAATGAGAAAATAACTACTGTGACTGATCAAACGTTATTACATTTCTGCGTACCCCCTGTGATTAAATAGGGGAGCCGGGAGCTATAATTGTTAATTAGTTACTTTTCGCTGTTATGCCACAGATTTTTACTCAACTCTCCTTTTTTTGTGTGTATCTGTCCATCTTTTCTTATGCAGTAGTGTTGCCTAAGAGCCTTGGGGCATTGACAGACGGGAGTGTGGAGAGCCCAGCCATGCATCCCACGCCCACAGTGGGCAGACCTCCAGGTCAGAGAGGACGCAAGCCAGGCCGCAGGAAAACCAAGGTGACAGGGCCTTGGAACCAGAAGGGCCCAGGGTTTGGACCACAGAACATCCAGCCAAGCAAAAGCCTGGAGCCCATCAAGATCCCCAAGAAACGAGGGCCCAAGCCTGGCAGTAAGGTAGGCGAGAAGAGGTTCAGATGCCATCAGGGACGAATGATTGCTTTTATTTACAGGGTCAGTTTACCCAAATAAGAGTAAACATATTTTCTCAGTTGTCTGTAATGGTGTCTAGCCGTGCAGATAGTTTTATTCTCCCAGGTTTTCTGATATCCATGTCTAAGTTTTCAACCTCTTCTCACAGACAGTAGAGGTGAAAGCTAGACGACTATTTCTCTGGTCCACAGTGAGGTTTGCGGATTACACAGGAAACATTTTGAGAATTTAAGACATGTTGCTGTTTGAATTTTTCGATGACATGAGTACCACAGAAAGAATTCCACTGCAGTGTTTTGGGGTGTCAGCGGAAATCTCAGAGGCTGCTGTGTCAAAACCAAACTACTGTATCTATATGGCTAAATAACATTTGAGGTAAAATAAAATGAGCTGAGTGACCCTGAATAGGCATTTTTTTGATGAGCCTTGTTGGCATGTGAACATTTTTGACCCTGTGTCACATCTTCCTCTCTATAGGGGGAGCATTATCATTGTAAAGTGTCACAGCATGAAGAGTTACCTCACTTGACTTTTTTATCTGTTATGCTCTTGGTTAGCAGTTGGGCTGGGCAAAGAGAGCTGGCTGGCTGGAGGATGCCATGGCTGGCCCAGGACGGCCGGTGACAGGCCCAGGGCGAACCAGGGGCAGACTGCCTGCCAACTGGGCACAGAGGATAGCTCTGCAGCAGGCCCAGACTCTGGCAGAACCCATCAAGATCCCAAAGAAAAGAGGTCCCAAGCCTGGCAGCAAGGTAGCTATCCAATACATACACATTAACACAGGCATTACTGAACCACAGAATATCACATTATAGCATTTTGATTACATTAGGAATTTATTGGATGTATATTGTAAAACACATCATACATCATTTATCAGCATTTCAGTTATGACTCTACCCAACTCAGAATTATGTTAGTTGAATCAGAATTTGGTGATCAGAACGAATATTCAACGGTTCGTTCCTTTTTTTCCCCCACATATCGATTGAGAGTTTGAGCCACTTAGACTCACCCTGGGTCTGTGTCTGCAGCTGCCTGTAACGAAGAGCAGTATCAAAGTGAGGATTTGGGAACTAAACATCCCCTGCAGTACACTGCACTCTGACTAACAAAAAAAACTGCTCGACTTGAATAATCTCAGTCGGCTGAGGGGTTTTCGACTGATGATTTGAATCTTTAACTTTCGGGGGGGCAGCCCTACCTTCGATAGTCACCAGTATATGTTGTCCATTGCTCACCTTCTTAACTTAGACACGTTGTTTAGTCTGAAACTAGCCCAGTTAAAACATAAAAGAGAGAGTTTGGATGTTACACATGTTGATACGTTTGTTGTCTTTATCTCTGCTCTGCCACGTCCTGCTCTCCTCTCTGTTGTCACTACCTTCCTGACCGGTCAGACCGGACCTCACCTCAGGAGAGTATGTTTCAAAACAATAAGCAATTTGAAAAAGGGTCTATCTTTCAACATGTCGGTTTTGTCTTTTGTTCAAATTCATAAATGAATCCCATTCTGTTTGGATGTTTTTGAAGTCAGGCAGATAGCTGGTTTCCATTTCAAAGGCAACAACGGTACGAAAACACGGTGGTTGTCCACAACAAATGTTGGCAGGTGGCTGCGCTCGTCAGGCCCCAATAATGTACTGAGGAGAGATTAATGGAAATACTTGGCAGAGCCATGAAATTTCCTTTTGATGTTTGTTTTGTTTTCCAGTGGTACACCATGTTACATTTACAGGAAGGCACTTTGTTTTAGAGTTGAAATATAAAAATAACTAAGTCACACATGATGCTACATTATTTATAAGTATTCCTAATAGTAACAAACAAGTAAAGAGACAAATGCTGTAAACATCTGAATGTGTGTGTTTGTATGCAGAGGAAACCACGTGTGGTACCTAATCCAGTCCCCACGTCTCCCACCAGCAGCACCCCAGAGCCCGACACCAGCACTGTGCCTCTGGACAATGCCACCATCCCCAACTCTGCACTACAGGCCCCCACAGGTACATGACATCCACATATTATTAATGGGTATTCCTGGCTGGGATGTTCAGTGCATCTGTCATGCTGTGACACACACTGTCACTGCCTTTTGTGCTGTGTTGGCAGAATTTGACAAATAGTTGTTAATACATGCAAACAAGGTTTAAAATAATAGCTGTCCCTTTTTTGAAATTACAGTACTATTTAGTTGATCCTAAAGTAGCAGACCTTCAATACTAACTACTCTTTTGTCTGATTTCCCCTGTAGTTTGTGTGTACCTAAACAAGTACGGCAAGGTGGGGCCCCATTTGGACCAGCGGCGAATCCAGCAGCTCCCGGACCACTTTGGGCCAGGCCGGGCCTCCTCTGTGCTCCAGCAGTGTGTTCAGGCTTGTGTGGACTCCGCCCACAATCAGGGCACAGTCTTCTCCTGCCTCAAGTCTGGACAAGGAGGCGAAGTCATTTCAGGTGGGAATTAAACTGTCATTATAGAAAGAAGAGTATGTTTTCACTATCACTCTCCTCCTCGTGTGTTAAGTCCCCATGAAACTGCATTTTAAGAGTTTCTTGCTTTATTGCTTCCTTGTTTATTGTGGCGTTCACATCTTTGTTCAATTATCTTCCATTGGAACAGAATGTTGTGCTGTTGTCAAAGAACCCCCACCAGAAAACTACCAGACCACACGGAGGGTTTATTTCTGTTGTAGTTGTAGTATAGCACAAAATGTGAGGTTTAAAAACCTCCACATGAAGCTCCGATTAGCAAACGTCCTCTACTAATTTTTCCCATATGAAACAAAAGACTGTGCGCTACATTGAACAGAACTCCTCCGTCTTTTCCCATCTAGCCTACTTTGACCAGCAGCAGCACACCCTGACCCTGCCCACAGTCAGCAGTGTCACTTACGTCCTCCGCTTCCTGGAAAAACTCTGCCACAACCTTCACTGCGATCCTTTGTTTGGCAGCCAGCCTGTAGCCAGAGGAGGCCTGCACTACGACAGTCACACATACACTACAGGTCAGTGCTGCTGTATTCTAACTGTGACTTCACATGCATCCATCTACATAGTGATAATAAGCGGTACAGTGTTAATGCCATATTTGATATACAGCAGTCATGTTGAGATATTTGTCCTCTTCAAGTACTGACACTTGAATTTTAATGTGGGGCTTTCAAGGTTTGAAAAGCACTTGGATTTTGAATAAAGTGCTTGAATTTGTTACTGCATTACTTTCATAATAAAACACTATCTGACTGAACAGTTGCCTTTTTAGATAAAGAAATATATTTCTTCAGCTGCCTTATACACTGAATGAAGCCGACTCTGCTCAAGGCTTGCTTGCCACTTTGCGCATATGTTATCCGACAATCTTTTTTGATTTGTGCCCTCTGATGAGGGTGTGGGAGGCTAACAGACGATGTTATACCAGGAGGTTGCCATTTAAATGAGCGTAAGGTTGAAAACGATAACTATAAATCATGACTGAAATGAGGACTGAAGTGCTTCAGAGTGACGTAAAAGAAAAGCGTAGTAGAAAGGGGGAGGGACCCTGAAACAAACCTGGTAACTGGGGTGTTGCATTCAAGGATTTATTATATCTGAAAGCAAAAGTAGCCTTAACACATTTCCAGATCACTGTTAGATTGCATGTATACGTATAGTTGAAGTTGACAAGAATAAAACAATATAGAGTCCACTCTTAATGTCTTATTGAGCCAGGCTTGAGGGCACCAGCGTTGGTCCTTTCTTTGTCTTTTTTTCTAAACTCTGTAGAAGATGAAAATTCCCCACAGCAAAAAATAAATAAAAAATCTTGTGTGCTTTGCTTATGTGGAGTTGTTGGCAGTAACCTTCTAAGAAGCAAATCTTGTAAATGCTCTGGGGAGGTGCACCGTGGGCCTCCCCTGAGTATCCGCACAGTATGTTTTACACTGCTGTACAAAAGGCAAATAACTTTGTACCACGCCTGGAGTTTAGATTTCTTGGGAAGAAGATAAATCAGACATAAAAGAAATGTTGTTGGCTACCAGCTACACAGCCATTATTAATGGTGTAGTAACAACAAGGTTCTTTATTGGAGTGGAGTGAAAGAAGAAGCATGAAATATTCTGGTTATTCCCATGATGAGTGTTTGTTGTGATCGCCTGCTTTGATTGATTGTACAAGTCAAAACCTTCTAATGTGATCATGTAGAGGGTTGAACTGTTACAGTGTGTTCATGCTGATGCATTTTAACTTCCTAAAGTTATTAGTTATTGAGTAGAACAACATAATATTCACTGACACAAACCAAATTCACTTCCTGCTTTGACAGTTTCTATATTTCCAGTGCTCAAAGTACAAAACGTCTTTTGTCCATTCAGCGTCTTTAACTAAAAGAAGAGTGTAACCAAATGACTGCTCCACTTATCTGTAACTCTCACACCTCTAACTGTATCACATGTGTCTCCTTCCTTCGTCTGTGCTGATTTCCAGAGAGGAGAAGTTTTGGAGACAGCCTAACAACAGGCCCGGGCAGAGGCACCAAGCGGTTCCTCCGGGACTACAACAGTCCGCTGCCACAGAAACTATCCAAAATCCCTCGTCACTCCACTGATGGTATGTTACTTTTGTGATTGTAGTTATTTTTTCCTTTTTTTTAAATTTTAATCCACCGTTGGCCTCATTACTGTACCTTCATGTTCTATAAAGGAACACTTATTTTTTTGCTTGTTTATATTTAGACAGGGCGAGTGAGAATTGTGTTTCTGTGACTATAGATGTTGATATTATTAGCACTCAGACAGCAGTCATATCTGAACACAGAACAGTGGTTACGTTTACATGCACAAAATATTCAGTTTTTCCCCAAAATAGCTTAGCAATATTCTTGCTAAGCTGTTTACATGGCTAATGAAAATTAATCTTCCACTAATATAACTGTTTACATGCAGCCCTGCATCCTCTGATTAGCATGCCCCGGCATTTCGTTTATCATGTCAAAATATAGAAAAGTTGAACAGCCAAAGCAGCTTGTTGTTTTCCTTCCTTGCATCAAAATAGCAATCTTTCAAAGTTTTCCTCCAATGGCAGAACACAGCCTCCCTCTTTCATTCCTTCAACCATGTTCTTGAAAAGGCTGCTGTTGTGATACTTTTGCATATCCAAGAACCTGTTGATATCCAAGTCTTACAATGTGTAAAAGTAGGCATGTTTTTTGGCTTCTTTTGAGTATGCATCTCTAGCCCAGCCTGTACAACGCATCCATGACAATACACAGAGCCAGCTGTTAAGAGGCAAGAGGCTGTTTGTCAGAAACTGGTAAAAACCCTTGTTGAGAAGCATATTCTGAATGTGCTGTATACATGTCCAAAGAGTGCTCCTCTTACCAGCATATCCCACGTCTTAATCAGAAAATGCTACATTCAGAAAAAGGCCTAATTCAAAATATCTAAACGGAACATGCTGTTAACATGACCCAGATCAAATTCAGAATATTTTCATATTCAGAATAATAGTGGAATATTATCAGGCATGTAAACGTAGCCCATGTCAGTACCAGATACTGGATTTTATCACAAGTTTGCTTATTCCTTATTAATGCAGTGTATTACCACTTTTACATTGTCTGGAGTTTCCCTTTCACACATGTAGCACACAACTTGGAGAAAAATGTTTGCCTGATGAAGGTGTAGTCACCGAAACTTCAGTATTAAAACCATTATGTTCACAAGTTAGACAGAGTGCAGGAGTTTTTTCTACAAGTTGTGCTCTGCTTGTCCCTCTCTTAAGCACCTGTTTGGAAATAGATGTGCGTAGTATTCCTTTACTGTGAGTTACACATGTAGCACACAACAGGAGATTGTCTGTGTCAGATACATTCTTACCTACTGGCTGGAGATACTCGGTTTGGTTTAGGTGAGAGGTGGCGCCAGGGTAGTGTATGCGGGAGGCAGGACATGACATGACTGCGGTTACATAGCCGCGTCGTAATTTGGTCAAAAAGAACACATTCTCTTGCAGTTTCTTAAATTTGTCTGACGATTTCAGCTTCAGCCCGCACAGACTTTTCTGAATCTCGTCATCTCTCCAGTTGAACATTTTCGTTGCCTTCTTTTTGTAAACAACCCTTCTTCTTCTGTTTAATGTCGATCCAACTGATTTGGACATTTGCGTTCTCACATGTAGCTCCTCCGGGTAGTGTCTAGACAATTTCAAGTTTGCAGGGCATGTGTGAAAGGGGCTAGAGATTGTTTTTTTATTCCACTATTGGATCAATAATAAACTATTTCTCCCATATATTGAAGGATAAGCTGTTGCGCACCACCACAGTTTATATGCTGAAGCTTCTTGCTAGTAAAGTTCTGTTTTGTCTTGTTTCTAAATGCCTGTATCATAATTTTCCTTTTTCTTCTGTACATATATAATATGCAGTATTTGTCTATATAATCAGTCTCAGCTCTAAAGCTGCACCACGTTTTATGAAGGACATTTAATTCTAATAATCGACTGCTCTGAGTTGTCCAGTAAAGCCTTATATAATCATGTAAAGGGAGGTAGTAAAACAGAAGAAGCTCTTGGCTCAGGATCCAGTCGTATTAGTTCTGGGGCAGGAGGTTAATCATTTAATCATCTTTCAATTTCCTTAGATTTTAATTAATTAATGGAATATTTGAAGAGATTTATGTAAAAGGGTAATATGCCCCTTAAAAGGGCCTTACACTTTTATAGGCGGCCCGAACACACACTCAAATCACTGTAATACTGTCTGGTGGTTACAGGCATGTCGCTGTGTAGTATCATCAGAGCATTTCATCGAGTATTTCACTGTATTTCTGTGCATTTATATTCTTTTTTTTCAGGCTAGTGTTCCTTGTTTATTTAATCTCACTGGTGAGTCTTCTGTGTGCATCATCTCCAGGTGAGTCCTTCATGGAGAACAGTGTCGCAGCATCAGAGCACTTAAAGAAGAGCCCTCTGTCTCCAAACTCTACGGTACAAACCCCCGGGCTGAGGTCTCCTTCCAAGCTGCTGCATCATAACAACTCCACAGGTAGGAAGAGACACTGGTCGGATGTCCATCCACATGTAGCACAGGTTTCATCTGAATATCTGCAGAAGAAAATGTGAATTTATGCCCTGTATCATCCCTTACTGTTGAGCAAATATTGGGAGTTGGTTCATTGAGATGAGCAGTACAGTAGATGTCGCTAATGCTCCAGTCAGGACTCTAATTCAAAGAGTGTTATTCAAAGCTCAAACGAAGGAAAATAATGGATGTGGAAATATATATTTGCTCTTGGAAGATTACTGGTAACAGCCCTGTGTGCATATAAGTGTGTTAAAACCCATTCAGAGACAATGAGAGAGCTTGCAGTGGCCTATGCAGCGACAGTACATCATGATATTTCACTGCTTCAGTGTAGCAGTTGTAACGCTCCCAAGTGGGCGATCAGACCAAAAATAGCCCTGTATTCTAAAAAATAAACAATGGACTGCACTGGTTTGAGCGTTGTGCTTTAAGTAAAGGTGAGACAAGGAACACGATCCACAAAAGATTGCGAGATGACTAATATGTTACAAAGCAGTCTACATGGAATGTGTGCTTGCTCATATTTAATTGGCCGTGAGCACTTTGCCAGATGATGACCCTGCATTTATTTACTGGAGCCCTCTGCGTTGGCACCTCTATTGTGTCGCTGGAAAGGCCCCCGTTCACATGACTGAGGGGGGTACGTTTTTTTCCCCCAACAGTGCTGTTGTCTGTCTGCACACAGCCTAACACCTGAGCAGGAGAATCATATTGACTCAAATGTAAGTAGGCTTTAACCAGTAATGTTTGAAGGCTGATAGTAATGATGCATTTAAACATTTGTGTCACATTATTGTTGGTGAATTATAGAAAAATCTATCTTTACAAGACGAAAAACGTTTACAGAGTGAAAGCTTTCAAAACTCTAACAGGTGGAATTACTCAGGGTGTGTAAATGGGCAGATGTAGTCTATAAACAATGAAATGTTCTGTTTATACAAGATTCTGTGTCATGGCCGTGTTCAGATATGTTTGTCGCATTTGCAGTTCACATGATTTTAAGTCTGGGTTCCCCTCAGACCCTCGCAGGCAGATAAGGACTGATAAGTCACTCGTACTCTCACAGTCATTCGGATGAGAAAATAGCAATTTGAGTTTCAGTTGTTTTGTCAAAAAGGAAAAAGCAAGTTTTACAACTCCATCAGACGTACAATCTTTTTGATAAGTTAGAGTGTAATTGGCCCCGACACTAGATGATCAACATATTGTATTTTCTGAATGCTATTTTAGTACTGCAAGCTAAAGTGTTAAAGTGTTAAACTATAGCACTCATAGCTTGGCAAAATGAAAACAGTATGACTGATGAAATACCCAATGATTGACCATCATGGATTTGAGTGTGTGCTTCTGTACTCTCAGGCTCAGGCAGTTTCAGGGAGAGCCCGAGGCCGAGTGGTCAGGACCCCAACCTGTGGACGGTGGAGGATGTCATGCAGTATATCAGAGATATCGACCCAGTGCTGGCGCCACATGCTGACCTATTCAGAAAACACGTATGTATTCTCTCATAACAGTGAAGATACCTAAAATACCTGTATCCTGCATTAGAAAATATAACCCCATATTTTTTTCTTGAAATGAAGTTTATATTTTTTAGAATAACCTAAACATAATTTTTTTTGTCAAGTGCATTTGCACATCTTTACTTTATTTAGCAGCAGTTTATTTCGAACATGTAAGCAGCAAATAAATGAAATAATCATATAGTAGTAAACAGACATAAAAAAGAAAATGGGTTACTAAAGGAAGCATGAAAACTGGGCGGCTGTGGCTCAGAGGCGGAGCGGGTTGTCCACCAATCGGAAGATCGGCGGCTCGATCCCCGGCTCCCCCAGTCCACTGTTGAAGTATCCTTGGGCAAGATACTCAATCCCAAATTGCTCCCGATGGCTGTTCCATTGGTGTGAGAGCATGTGAATGGTTACTGAGTATCAGGTGACGCCTTGTATGGTGGCCTCGTTCACCAGTGTGTGAATGTGCGTGTGAATGGGTGAATGTGACATGTAGTGTAAAAAGCATTTTGAGTGGTCAGAAGACTAGAAAGGTGCTATACCATTTACCAAAACAAGATGTACTGATTTGATTTATATGTCCAAAAAGGAGTGGGAGGAAGTACAAACTTATTTATTCCCATCCCTTCTCCATAAATTGATAATAGTCAATTACGTAGCTCCCCATCAATATGAAGCTGTACAGTAATTAATTCTCCTAGACCTATTCTAATATATTAAATTAATTACCAATAATATTTCAGCAAGATATAAAATAATTACAAAAATTCCTATATACTTACCTTATTAAAGAAAAAAATCTCGTCTTTATAAACTTTTCCAATCATGACAGATGTGTTTTTCTTCATCAAATTATGTGTATGTATACACAAACTATGCACATATACACAAGCTATGTATATACACATACTCACACATACTCAAAACTGATGGCTATAAATAAAGAGTTAACACCTGCTGATAGTCAAACACATTCTTCATTCGTGTACCTTCTTAAAATCATCTCCTAATCCTTTTAAAACTGGTTCATGTTTGGACATTTCTTGAGCTCCACATTCAAACGGTTCTATAGTTTCACTCCATATATAGAGATACAAAAACTTTATTCTTGTGGTACACACAGATAGTCTTAAAAAAATAATTTTCCCCTTAAGTTATAATCTCCTTGCCTTTCGATAAATAATTTTTGAATATTTACTGGTAGTAAATTGTTTTTTCCTTCAAATATTATTTTGCTGTCTGTAAATCCACAGGATCTTTAAAGTTTAAGAGTTTTGACTGTAATAATAATTCATTTCAATTCAATTTTATTTAAAGCCCAATATCACAAATCACATTTTGCCTCAGAGGGCTTTACAGCATACAACATCCCTCTGTCCTTTTAGACCCTCACAGCGGATAAGGAACCCCCCCCCCCCCAAAAAAAAACCCTTTATTGGGGAAAAAAAAGGTAGAAACCTCAGGAAGAGCAACTGAGAAGGGATCCCTCTTCCAGGACGGAACCACGTACAATAGATAAATCGTACAGAACAACATCATAAATTAACAGTAATCCATTTAACAGAATGATACATAAAGAGAGACAGAGGCAATAATGAGCTTGTATAATCCCAAATCCTGCCCCATGAATGACCCGAATTGCTTTCTTCTGCAAAATAAGTAATGGATGAATTGTACTTACGTAGTTGTTGCCCCAAACCTCTGCACAGTAACTAGTGAACAGTATAGAACGTGGAGCGACTAGCAGCTTTGCTAAAAAAGAAAAAAAAAAACAAACAGTTGTTTTAATTCCCCCTCCCTCCCTCTGCTACAGGAGATTGACGGCAAAGCGCTCCTGTTGCTGCGCAGCGACATGATGATGAAATACATGGGCTTGAAGCTCGGTCCCGCCCTCAAACTCACCTTCCACATCGACAAGCTCAAGCGGGCTTGAGGAGGTCAGCCGACCATCGCAGCCTTCCAAAGGACTAAACTCCACCCGCATCTCTCCGTTCTAGGATCAGTATATCATGCACTGCATATCGGACGTATACTGACCATCTACATGTAGCGACTTCCATCAGACCACCATATCTGGTATTACATAACCCTGTCCTGACCTCATCCAATGAGGAATGTTTATTTTGTGTAGCACAATCCAGCCTTAAGGCAGCATGGGATACGTAGGATCACCCACTTGTCCGTCATCTGTTTTGCATTTCAGTATAACTTGAAGAGTCATATGTGGCCATCTTAACTGTAAAAGGCTTTTTTTGGGCCTGCTTTTATTATGTTACATTTATTCTGTACATTTCATATTTTGTACTTTATGGATATATGGACATGTATTTTTGCCTTTTTCGACGGTTTGTGTGGAATATGCTAAAAGAACCCTAAAGGAAGCAGAGAAAACACTACATTCGTCCCAAGAGTTGGGAAGGCTTCTGGTTAACGTCTCAGTTTGAGGCAGGATTTTGCATCTACAACGATATTAATTATGAGAAGAGCACGTTTTATGAAAGGAAACAAGAAAAAACTTTATTCTGAAAATACTGCCATGAGGAAATCTGCTTCTTTATTCTTATTCTGGATGTTGTTTACAATGCCTTGTCTTGTCTTTGTTATTTGTACTTTTTTAATTTTTATACTATATTATTAGAGTTCCTACATGGAGAGCCCTATCATACTTAACAGCAATTTGTTCAATAAATATATAATAATTCAACTTCTCTGCCTTTTTGTTCTGCAACATCAGCCTTTAAAGCTATGATTTGTGATTACATCGCGTTTACACTCGTGTTTACATAACTTTTCCACATATATTTCAATTAGTACGTTGTCTATGTGCTTTTAATTGCCTGACTTTTTCATATTGACTTATTATATGCCTCATACAAATGTAGGTTTGACAAGTCTGACATTTTGAGGTTGTCTACAGCCACAACATTCAAACCACTGACAGGTGAAGTGATCACAGTGATCATCTTGTTACACTGCAACGTTCCACTTGGAAAACCTTGGGTGCTGACATTCATGTGGATGCCACTTGACACGTACCACCCACACTAACGTTGCTGCAGATCAATTACACCCCCTCATGGCAACGACACTCACTGATAGCAGTGGCCGCCCTACCAGCAGGACCACGCACTATTCCACACCACAAAAAGTGCTCAGAAAGGACCCGAGGAATGCGACAAGGTGCTCAGGAAGAGCCCGACCAATGTGACAAAGAACTCAAGGCCTCAACCTGACCCAGATCCCGATCTGATCGACCATCTGTGGGACGTGCTGATACCTCAAAGGTCCTGAGTCCATGCCTCGACAAGTCAGAGCCAAGTCCGCAGTGGGGTCTCTGACCTGCTGAGGCACGAACGCAGAACCTCTAAGGGTGTCCTGTGGTGTCTGGCACCAGGGCATTGGCTGCAGATCCTTCCAGTCCTGTGGGTTTCGAGGTGGGGTGCCTGCATGTCCCATGGGTGCTTGATCAGGTTGAATTCGGGAATTTGTATACCTTGAGCTCTTTGTCACGTCCCTTAGGCCATTCCTGAGCAGCTTGTGCGGTGTGGCATGGCCCGTTGCCTGATTTCGGAGCAGTGCCGTTGCCATGAGTGGGTGTACTTGGTCTGCAACAGTGTTTAGGTGGGTGGTACGTGTCAGTTGGCTCCACATGAATGTCAGCACCCAAGGTTTCCCAGCAGAATATTGCAGTCTGACAAGTCAATCAATGTTATTCACTTCACCGGTCAGTGGTTTGCATGTTTTGAAGAATACATTTACTGCCATGTACTGGGCTTTTTTAATTTTATTTACAGTTGTTCACCAACAGGGGGCAGCACAGCCTCGTCTACCTTTTTGCAGTCATGTCTCCTTGCTGTTTCTCCTTGGGACTCACTGACATGCACTGCCATGGGTGGCCATATCTCCATCTGGTAGAGTCAGCATGATAATCTCAGTGATATTTTCATACCACGTAAAGATTTTATCGTGTGATTGTTGTGATTTTGTTGCTCCAGCGTCAGTATATTTTCCTGTATTGCTTTGCAGTTATTTTAACGTGTTCTCCAATATTTAAAGACCTCCTCTTTTATGATTATGTCAACCTATTGTTCGTGCTGCTTCTGGTAAATATTGCTGTCATTGTTTCTGTCAGTACATGAGTGGGCTATTAGGCTTGTGGGCGAAAAAATTACTTGTGTCTGCCGAAGCAACTCAACAGAAGACAGAAAATCTTAACCACATCCTCCCTACGAAAACAGGAAAACATATCACATTAGGTCGAAAAACAGTGACCAAACCCACCGATTCTAACTGACATGGACGAGTATGAATACGTTTCTCTGTGTGTGAGCATATGACACATACTCACAATCTGTGCTGTGTGTTATGCTCAGGCACATGTGACAAGCTCAGAGCTCGTGGCTGATGCCTGTGCTTGTTGATGTGTAATAGTAGCCAAAGTGTTGTGCATGAAGCCAGCGCTATTTATAGAAATAACAGCTCCTTGTGCTTCATATTGTGTTTGTGAAGGTTGTGAAGCGGGTTTTTACTTAAGCGCCTAACTCTACAGTGTGATTTTTATCAGGCGCCATTCTTGTGTTGCTGAAAGGGCAGCAGGCAAAGGTCTTAAAGTATTGAGGTGAATATTCAACATGACTGGCTGGGTTGTCTGAAAACACACAAGCAAGATAGGTTATCTTTATTGTTATGACATACAGTGGTATTCAGCACCTTTGGGGGAATTCTTCCCCTGATATTTACCAACAATGCTGTGCACTGCTCCTGAGTCATCCAGTGTGTTTGCCTCAACAATCAAACACCATATAGAGCAGTGAGACAGTTTCAGTATGCATGAAAGGAAGTTTTGCGGGCTTGCAGAGCAGTCATAACTGTGAGAAAAAAACCGACTCTCAGGTCTTTGCTTCAAGTGTCATGATATGGCATGGAAATACCATATTCTCTGCAGAACCAGCCTGGCACATTGTAATCTGCAGACAAGTGCGGGCACGGCGGGAGAGAAGCAACACAAAAATAAGGTGCTCAGTCCACCACTTTCTCCCCAGCTGATACCAGAATTCCCAGCATGCCTTTTGGGCTGACAGTTGAGGTGCTTTGGGGTGAGCATCCTGCTGGCCTCAGGTCTCTGTGTGTCTATAAAGCCCTCAGTAATAAAAGAATGTGCTTGAATTTCTTTGTCAGGTTGATCTTTGGATTATATTTCCAGGCTGTGCAATAAATGCACGATCTAATTCCTTCGAGAGTTGTGAGGACCGACAAACTAACTGTCAGTGTTTCTTATTATTATTTATTCATGTCTTTATGTTATATTCTAGATTTATTATACACTTTATTGTTATTATTTTGCCCTGCAGGGAGTTCAACATACAACATTCTTCTGCATTATAGGACACTTTTGTCTGTTACTGGTTAGTCATGAGACAAAACCTCTGAGGGTTTATATAACCCAAAAATGAAGTATATGTATATGTGAAGTGTATGTAACCACACTAGGGCTGCAGCTAACAATGTTTCCATTATCAATCACCCCATTTTTCTTACCTTAACACTGTTCAGACCAACTGGCCACAGTCTTTACCAAAAAAACAACAACAAAAACACTCGCTAAACACCCGCCAACATCTTGCTTTTTAATGGTATAGGAAAGGTTATAATCGGCATTCACACCTGCATCAAATGACTGCAGTAGTCACAGGTATTTATCAGTTACACCATTGATTGGCATTGATGGAAAAACAACACCTTGGTGAATGCATTAATTTTAGCCCCTTCAGTGGAGAGATGCAGTGATGACGTGAGTTTGAAAAAGACACTGAATAAGTAAGAGATGTTTAAAATGCTGCTTTCTATTGTTTACTAACCTGTTTTCCAGCCTGTCCATGAGGGGAAAAAAAAGCACAAAGAAAGACTCACTCTTCTTCTGTAGAGCCGTGTACACAGCTCTGGTCTACTGGCAAAGGGAAAGGAGTCTTAAACCATTTTTCAGCGGGTTTTTCCCATGTTTTAAAAACCTGCAAAAAAGCCAGCCTCTTTCAAAAACTCTATCATTATCCCCATACTTGCATCATATGAAACTAGAGGACCCAAGGAATCCATTGGTACCAACCATGTCATGCTAGCTTGAAGGGAAATCAGTTAAATAAATAAATAAATTTAGGCCAAATTTTGGTGAGGGAAAAACAAATATAGCCATTTTCACAGGGGCCCTTTGACTGATGACCTCAAGATATCTTAACAGCAATGGGTTGTGCGGGTACCCATGAGTCCCCCCTTCATTCACATGCCTACTTTGTGCTAGTCCCAAACAGTTTGGGACAAATACTATGCAGTTTTTTTGCATGCAGTGCAAATGTGTTGTTATATTTCTGGATACTGAAGTCTATTGACAGTGTTGGAATTATATAACTTGGATATGATTAGAAAGGTCAGACTCTTGTGAATTAAATCAGCCCAGTTTTATTCGTATGTGATGATGTTAGTTTCCATATTAGCCATTTGATTGTAGCTAGACCAGTTTTTAGAAACTTCAGGATGATCACAGCCTCGTGAAACTTTACAGCCACAAACTAGAGACCTCAAGCATTCAGAAGATGTTAGATACATTGACAACAAGAGGGTTTCTTGGCAGTTTCCAGATCAGAAGTGATTGCCATCCAATCGCCAAAAAAATTCGTACAGATATCTCTAAATCTTTTTACCATTTTGATTAGTTCACGATTGATTAAAAAAAGCTTAGCATTAAATCTGTGTCACAAATGATATCAACCCAAAAATTGTTGCAACAACTTATGAGACATGATTGAGCATGGGCATGGCCATCATATACTTCCATCATAATGCTCTAAGTCCCTATACACTCTAATATACACTCTAAAACTTTAAGTTTGAATAGATGCGTAACCAAAAGGCAGTGTTTATTCCCTGCTTTCAGATGATGTCACCTCTATGTGTCATATATTGTTGGTTTATAATCTCCCCCTAAAGATCCCCTGTGCCCCTTAAAAAGAAAAAGAATGGGTCTATGGTTGTGAATGGGGAGTTGAAGAGGTGACAGTCACATCCCACCTGATGGACCCACTACAGTCTGCATATCGACCTAATCAGTCCACAGATGATGAAGTCAACCTGGCACCGCACTTCACCCTCCAACATCTTGAGTCCAAATATGCCTACGCAAGAATTCTGTTCATCGATTTCAGGTCCGCTTTTAATATTGTCAGCCCTCTCAAGCTATTCAGGCAACTCCGGGATATGAACATTAACATCTCATTGTGCCTCTGGGTCCTGGATTTTCTCAAGGATAGGAGCCAAGTGGTCAGATTCAATAACATCACTTTACGTCCCCTGACCACCAGCATGGGGATGCCACACGGGTGTGTCCTGTCCGCGTGTGTGTCTCTCTCCTTATCAGTGATTTCAGACCATAATCAGACTCCATCAGGATTCTGAAATACACAGATGATACTACTTGAAGGACGATGAAGCTGGGTAGAGAGGCCAGTCAACTGGTGCAGGTAATATGACCTGGTCCTACTGAAATAATCATAGACTAAACATAACAATCAATAAAAGCACCTATTCCCATCGACAGCCAACCAGTTACAATAACCGACCCCGACTATAAGTTTCTTGGCACAAATATTAGCACTAACCTGAAATGGAACCTCAACGCCAATCGTCAAATGCGAAAAGCCCAACAGAGACTTC